GCCAAGACTGTGCCACTGTACTCCAGCCTGGGCGACAGAGCAAGACTCATTTCAAAAAAAAAAAAAAAAAAAATTAGCCTGGCCTAGTGGTGTGCACCTACACTCCTGGCAACTTGGGAGGCTGAGGCAGGAGGATAGCTTGAGCCCTGAATTTTGAGGCTGCAGTTAACTATACCACGCCACTGCACTCCAGCCTAGGTTGCAGAGCAGGAGCCTGTCTCAACAAACAAACAAACAAACAAAACACTATATACTGAAGAAGCCAGATCATACTTGAATCAGACAACCAGAATCAACCAACTACTAAAGGGCAGATATTATTGGCCTCCACTTATTTAATGTTCCAGCTGGAAATGTATCACCTGAATCCCATCATAAGGAACTATCAGAAACCCAAATTAAAGAACATTTCATAAAATAATTGGCCTGGACTCTTCAAAATGGCAATGTCATAAAAGATAGGGAAAGGCTGAGGATAGGATGCAAATGAAAGGATAGTAAAAGACATAACAACTAATTGCAATAAATGATTCTGGACTGGATCCTCTACTGAGAAAAACAAATGTGATAGAAGACATTACAGTATTGGAACAGTTGACAAAATGAGAATATAACTATAGATTAAAATATTATATCCCTGTTAAATTTCCCATAGTTGATCAATATGCTATGGCTACAGAAGAGAATATCTTTGTTCTTAAGGAAGACACACTAGCCGGGTGCAGTGGCTCATGCTTGCAATCCCAGCACTTTTTTTTTTTTTTGAGATGGAGTTTCGCTCTATTTACCCAGGCTGGAGTGCAATGGTGCCAACTTGGCTCACCGCAACCTCCGCCTCCTGGGTTCAGGCAATTCTCCTGCCTCAGCCTCCTGAGTAGCTGGGATTACAGGCATGAGCCACCATGCCCAGCTAATTTTTTGTATTTTTAGTAGAGACGGGGTTTCACCATGTTGACCAGGATGGTCTCGATCTCTTGACTTCATGATCCACCCGCCTCGGCCTCCCAAAGTGCTGGGATTACAGGCGTGAGCCACCATGCCCAGCCGAATCCCAGCACTTTGGGAGGCTGAGGCGGGTGGATCACGAGGTCAAGAGATCGAGACCATCCTGGCCAACATGGTGAAACCCCGTCTCTACTAAAAAAATACAAAAATTAGCTGAGTGTGGTGGCGTACACCTTGTAGTCCCAGCTACTCGGGAGGCTGAGGCAGGAGAATTCCTTGAACCCGGGAGGCAGAGGTTGCAGTGAGCCGAGATCGCACCACTGCACTCCAGCCTGGTGCCTGGCAACACAACAAGACTCTGTCTTAAAAAGAAAAAAAGGAAGACACACTGAAGTATTAACATGTAAAGTGGCATGACGTATACAACCTACTTGCAAATAGTTAAGAAAAAAGTATTTGCATTGAGAGATAATAAAACAAATTTGGCAAAATGTTAATTTCTATTGTTCTTGTAACTTCTGCAGACTTGAAATTATTTTAGGTCAATTAGTTTCAGAGGATATCTAATAAAAATAGACTACTGGCCTGGTGCGGTGGCTCACACCTGTAACCCCAACACTTTGGGAGGTGGAGGTGGGCAAATCAAGAGGTTAGGAGTTTAAAACCAGCCTGGCCAACATGGTGAAACCCTGTCTCTACTAAAAATACAAAAAATAAGCTGGGTGTGGCAGGAGCCTCTAATCCCAGTTACTCAGGAGGCTGAGGCTAGAAAATCACTTGAATCCAGGAGGAGGAGGCTGCAGTGAGCTGAGACTGCGCCACTGCAATCCAGCCCAGGTGACAGTGTGACTCCATCACACACACACACACACACACACACACACACACACACACTAGACTACTAAGTCAAGATAATTGTAGGCCTTTCTCCCCCACAACAATTATCAGTTTAAATCCTTATTTTCCCTATAGACTACCCCATATCTACATCCTACATAGGATCAAGAAATAAATATCAGATTTCCACCATTTGTTCAAAACTTTAAGAACTTTTTAAAGAAATTAATAATACATATTAAAAGAATTTTATGCAGAAAAAAATTTTATGCTAACTTTGGCGAGTTTTGGGAATTTAAATTGATAGCTTTTTTGTGTGAAAACTTCCTACAGAAATAGGTACAGAATGTGCAAGGTATGCTATAATATATAAGAATGTTTAATAAATACATTACTTATAACCACAAACAAATGGTGAAAGTCTAAAAATCTACCATTAGAGGAATAGTTAAATAAATTGTGATACATCCACATTGTAGAATACAATTTTTAGAAAGAACTAAAGTATATCATAAGTACAAAAATATACGTATAAAACATGATATAATACAGAATGAGTGAGAAAAGTTGCTGATAGATTTATTTGTATAAAAACACAGAACTGCGATAATGTGTTTATGTATGTGCCCAGAAACAAAGGCCTGAAATGATAGACAGGAAGTAGTTACCAGTGATTGCCCCTGGGAGAATGCATAGGGGGAAGGGTACTACTTAAACTGTTTGAATTTTTTTCCAAAAAGATCCGGGTACTATATAATTTTTACAATTTAAAAAATAAAATAGTTTGTATTCTTAGAACTAAGATTTAAATGTACTTTGATGAAATACGGTTTCAGTGAAGAACAGAAAATATAACTGATATCTGAACTACTAATATATGCTTATTACCTAGTATATATAACTAGATTTATTTTTGTGCTCAAGCACCTTTGTGCTCAGAAAGTTCCATAGTTTAATTTTTAAACTAACAAAGCTAACAAGTACTTTTTGGAAACAGGTAAAATAATCTTAAATTAAACATTTCTGGTTACTTAATGACAGTAACACAAATTTAAAAACAAAACAAAACAAATACCAACATAATGTCCTTAACAAAGCTTATCCTGAGAATTATTTCAATTGACAGACCAAAGCATGATCTAAATGATGTACTTTAAACTGTACATGACTTACGACAGTGGAGAAACATAATAAACTGTTGAACTTTGAATTCGTGACCATCTTGTTATCCATTTTACAACTATGGAAGATGATTATCATTCAGTTATCCTTTTACTTAACAATACATGCAGGATTGTACAACTATCTGAGAATTAAATTCAACAAATATTTATTAGGTTGCTAGCACAGTATGTTCAAGCCATTGTACTATGGTGACACAAAGACAGTCCCTAGTCAAAAGAATCTTACGAAATTGAAAAAAAAGTTTATCTTACATTGAATGCAATAATAAAATTAAGGACTACTACCTCTAGAATCTAAACTATTCCTTTAATTAGGCAATTTGGGTGACAAATTAACTTTTCAGCCACTATTTGCAATAATTCTCTGAATGGGATCACTGTTACATACTGCAATAAGCAGTGGTTACACTCTTTAAGTGACAGTTATCATTTAGATTGTTTTTATGTTGGGATTTTAAAAATCTATTCTCCTTTGCATATAAGTCAATCTCTAGGGACTTTAGGGAAACATTTACTTTTTCAGGCATCTAGATTATTAGGACTATTATCATCATAATTTATTAATATAAATCAATGGGCATTCCTCTATTAACAGAAACCTCATGAGCCCTCTAAAACTCTCATTACAAGACACTGACACACAGAGGAAATGTCTATGCTGAGCACCTTGAGGACGTTGTTTCTTTACCTCGGTGTACTAAAAGAACTGTCAGTTTTCACTTTTCAACATTTCCTGAGTGTTAACGAGTCCCAAGTCCGTGCACCAGGCTATAAGAATACACAGATTCCCTCTCTAACCTCTAGAAATTCACAATTTAGTGTAGAGAAAGGCACATAATCTAGAAGACGATATTGTCCATAACTCCTCACTTTCAACAAAGTAGGTAAAAACAAAAGTAGTGGGAAATGTCGCTTTGAGAAATAGCATATATTCAAACTAACATTTATCCATTTTCAGAAAGCCTTGAGTTGACTCAGCAAACACAATATATGGTGAAAAAAACAGTACCCCAAGGAAGAACTCTTGGTTTCACAATTCTTAACACATTGTAACATGACTTTAGGCACGTCATTCTTAACCAGGGTTGGCCTTAGTCACCTCGTCTAAAAATGTCAGGATTAGCAGCCTGAACCCGAATCATTTTACCAGCATAAACTAAATTGTTTCTAGTGGCTCTTCCGGGTCAAAGCCACAATACTCACACACTCATCCGTCAGATTATCCAAGTAATCATGGCCCAGGGAACCACTAAGAGTAAGACAGATAAATTACAGTTCCTAAACTGAGATAGGCTTTAAATTTGTGAACTCAGAAAATGTATTACAGTGGTCATGACATAGCCTTATAAAATTAACAAGAATAGCTGAACATTTTGTGCATTATTCTAGTACAATATCTCTGTGTATTTCCTACCAGGAATCCGAATTTCTGCACTACTGGAACCACGCCTCCCAGAGAAATCAGGAAGACACCAGAAAAACCTCCTCAAGGGGCACGGAGAAATCGCGGATAAGTCACGACAGGCTTTCTCCCCTTGTCACCTCCCCCCCAAAAAAGCCCAGTGTTTTTCTTCCCCTCTAGCTATGCAGCTGCACCCAGCAGAGAAGTACTAGATTAGCATCAACTGCATTTCATTCCTTTTCTTTTGCAATAGCTACTCGCCTATAATAAACAGACCTTGTGTTCAGGGGAGAATTTCCTTCCCCGTCCAGTAAAAATGAAGTTCCTTATTTTCACTAACAACGCCGTCTCCAATCAACACCCAACCTCCCTGGAGGGTGGGTGAGACCAGGCACGCCTCTCCCTGCCACCCGTGCTGCAAGGCTGACGACCCACACCCTAGGAATTGCCCCACTTTCCAAGCCCCTTCTGCACGGGTAGCAAGGCTTTGGGGGACAGCGGAAGAGGCCGGGGGTTTGGTGTGCACACCCGGGGGGCGTCCAGGCCGTCCCGGGAGCGCCAGACTGCCTCAGCTGGCAGGGGGCTCGCAGAGGCGGAAGGGGAGCGGCGAGCCCCGTGCCACCCCCACTTACCCACTTTGTCCTTCCCGTACATGTGCCCGGCCACCTGATGCGAGAGGGGCACGCAGCCGTTGAGGAAGCGGAGTCTGCCGCCCGCCGGCTGCGGGGCGCCCTCAGGGGTGGCCTCGATCGCCAGTGGGGTCCGCATTTCTGGGGGACCCGGAGCCTCGAGCCGGATGGGGGATGGTGGTTCTGTTGCCATAACGGAGAGCCGAAGCGGTAGCGGCAGCGAGAGCAGGGGAAAAAAAAAAAAATAGGGCGAGGGAGGGGGCGCCGGAGAACCCGGGGGTCGCTCAAGCTCTGGCGCGAGGAGGCCCGGGGGTTCCCGCGGCTGGTGCCCGCTGAGGCCCGGGGAGTGGGCCCATGATGCCGAGCGGGGTGCGGGCGCTCCTCTGCCCAACTCTCGGCGGAGCGCGGCTCCCGGCTCCTGCTCCTCCGCCGCCCAGCTGCCTGCCCGGCGCTGCCCAGTAGACACAACCGTGCCGAGGAGCAGCGGCAGCGGCGCCCCGCGCTCCCTGGGGCCCTGACGGCAACTGCGGCCCCACCTCCTGCGCCCCCGCCCCCTCCCCGTCCCCGTCCCCCTCTCCCTCCCGCCGTCCTCCAGTCCCCTCGGCTGCCGCGCGAGCGTCAGCGCCGCCTGCACAGCCGCCGCCGCCGTCGCTACTGAGCATGCCCAGAGGCGGTCCGACGGAACCCCGGGGCGGGCGAGCTGAGCGTCAGGAAACTGACGACCGCGACACGGAAGGGGCGAGCCCACTCCTGGCCCTTCTGACCCCTACCCACGGGCGTTTCGAAGCCAAGTGTGCTGTTGTGGCTTCATTCATTCAACGCGCTTTTCAGCGCGTCCCGAGGGTCGGCTCAGAGACGCCAGGGACTTCCAAGTGTGCGGAGCAGTCGGGTATTCGAATTGGAAGGTTCTGCCATTGCCAAGGGTGACTCTAAAGGCCACCGCTAACTGCAGTGACCTCCCTCCAGTTCCCACACCGCACAAAAACAACAGAAGTAAAAACCAGGCAGCTTATTAGAAGACACGCCTTCAAAACACCCTTCTAGATAATCTCAACCTCCCTCCCTGGATTGCTGTCTCTAAACCACTCTTACCAAAAAAATAAAAATAAAATAAAAATGGAACCGACACTAATTTTTTTTTTCAATTATATCCACAGTCACCTTTATTCTGGTTTGTTTTGTTTTGTTTTGTTTTGTTTTTTTACAATTATATCCGACACTAAGGCCGTAGAAGATAAAGAAAAATCCTAATTTCTTTAAGTGGACACGTTTTCTAAAGAGAGGAGCAAGATTTTTTTTTTCTCTCCCACTCGACCTTTAAGATACGCAGGTTCCAAGGTCCTGAGTAGATGACTAACTACTTCAAAAATATAAGAAAGGGATGGACACCGGTAGCTACGCGAGATTCTGGAATGGGACTCAGTCATTGATTCCTGTATGTCCGCCACTGGCATGTTATATAAAAGCTAGACCTGGCCTTGAAGGTAGTCGTCACAAGCCCCGAGCAAGAAAAACTGGGGTCAAAGCTTAGGTATCTGATTCAAGTTAAGCGTCCTACTAATACGTGTCTCTGCCCCGAGAAGCCCACACACCTGAAAGAGACGTAAAATCTGGCCTGGATTCCCTATTCCCAGGCCCCTGTCCCTCCACTTCAGGGCCCCGCCCCTCGGCGTTGCGCAAACTCAGTGGCTACCTAAGTCTTCCTCCTCCCCTCTCCTGTGGCTGTCAGAATCCGTAGTTCAGACTTCCTTAAGGCCCAGGATACAGTTCTACGCATGCTCAGCACCTACCAGGGTCGAGCTCACACACACGTGCTTACGGCCCGCCGCGGCGCCTGCGCGGTAGCAGCGCGAAGTCGGCTCCCTGAGTACGCCGCCGGCACATTGACTCTCGCCGGCCGCGCGAACCCGTTTGTGCTCGGTATCCTAGTGCACACGCCTTGCAAGCGACGGCGCCATGACTCTGACTTCCAGTTCCAGCGTACGAGGTGAAGTGGGGCCTGGGAGCGGGTGAGGCTGGCGAGACGCAGCGGTTGCGGCGCCTGCAGCTCGGCTGGGTTGTTTTACCCCTGCTCTACGCGCCCGCCGGTCCTATAACCTTGGGATGCAGAAGGGCAAGCGCTTGGCCCGGCTGCGGGTTCCGGGCCGGACAGCCAAAGGGGGCGAGGTCAGGGATGGATTGATGGTTTGAGACCACGCCGGCGTCTCATCTCTGGTCCACGTTACCCCTAACTAGGCAAAACCCGTTACACCTAATGACCGCGCCGCTAGCTTTTCTTGTTCTCCCCTAAGACTCTTTCATACATGTCTTTAAGTCACAGAGCCTGGAAAAGAAGGAAAGGTAAGAGAAAACAGTAACAGCAAACCCGTTTGCCCTTCTTATGTTTCAGTCAGCGTCGGGCCACAGCGTCGATTTCCTGCGATCCTGAAGCAGTGCATGACTAATCACATCTTAGTTTTGCAGATTTTTTTTTTTTAAGGGATAAAACCCAATCCGAGGTCTTCAGTTTTCCTGGTTTTGCATTATGCCCTTGGCATCTGGCCCTCGCGGGGAGTAGTCCAGGATAGAGTATTGAAAACCGCGTTCCTTGAACCTTCAGCTTCGAGTCTTCTTTCCCGTGTGCTAGTACCTAGTGTTTGGAAACGGTATTTCGCAGAAAGTCCCGTTTTAATAAAATTGAGATACTTTAACGCAGTCATTTAGTGTGGATTTTCACTTTTCTTGGTGATGTTATAATTGTTAATATAATACTGTGTACCAGACACACGGTATGTGTGATCTTTGCCCCGTATGAAACGCCACTTGGCAAGGTTTTGCATAGAGATTGTCCCAGAGGTTAATTAAAAATACGTTCAGTAAATATTGAGCATCTGTAGTGTCAGGTAATATAAAGTTCCTACTAAGTTGAGCCCTAATTTTTTCACAGAGAGGTAGTTTCCAAAAATTGGAGAGTTCCACTTCTGTTGTCAGAATTTACCTGGCAGAGTAAGGGTGACATGACATTTCGAATTTACTGATGATACAGAAATTACTATTTGCAAAAATTATTTTAAAGGATACTCATCTTGAGACTTTTTTAATAGAGGCAGCTTGGTGCATTTAAAATAGGTTGTAATTTTTGTTTTTGTTTTTTAAAAAACTATATTCTCTTAGGATTAAGACTTGTGAAATGAGATGTTCATGTAACTTGTGCTGCTGATATTTTTAATTTTACAGGAACACTGAACATGTTTGAGGTGGACCAAAAGATTCCACAATATGTGTTTAAAATGTGGGATCATTTTGTGTACATGAACACTAAATTCTGTTTAGGTAGCATATTATTGAAACGTGAAACAGGTGAACCCCCTAGAACTTACCACTCTTTGCAGGCTAGTCTGCAAGATTGGTTTTTTAAACAAGACAATTTGTTGTTTTGTTTTGTTTTTTAAGTCTAACCATAGGGGAATTCAAAGGCAACTTTCCCAATCATTTTCCATTGTATAAAGAATAGGCAATCAATGAAGAAGGTTATTGGCTTCAACTGGAGGTATTCAATATTGTTGTGAGGCTCCTTGGTCCCCCGGCTTCCCAAAGTGCTGGGATTACATACACTACACCCTGCCATGACTACTTTTTTATTTCATCAAAAAGCATTAAAGTTGTTATGAATACTGTAGGGAGAGGCCCAAAGCCTTTGTAAATCTCTTCCACCAACACTTTCCTCCTCATAATATAGTAGTAGGTAGGCAAGGTAGGAACAGAGAATGTCTAGGGAATTTAACTTTTAGTGTTTAGATCACACAGAAGTTTGGTTCTTCTCTCAATCTTTAAACCAAATTTGTTCCTACAGATTGAAAATTAATTTAGATCTTTTAATTTGGGAGATATCATGTCTCTTCTCAAATTCATAATTATAAAGAGCTTAGAATGATATGTGACAATGGTAAGCACTGTATAAATATATGTTAAATATAAAGTGTGTATATGTACATATACATAACTCTTGTTCATTTTCAGAAGAAAAATAAAAGGTAGTTTATAAATAAAACTTAACGGGGACCAGACCAGAACTGGAATCAGGCAGAGGCAATGAGAATGAAGGATTGGAACTGAAATAGTCTTAAGATCCTGGTCATTGAGATAGCTCTTGATACCAGTATGGTCCATAAGACCATTAGTTTATTACATTTTCTAGTGCTAAGTGCCCCTCACTGCCTACGTGTCCAGTCTCTTCTGATTCCTCCTCATATCCAAATAGATAACTTTTCTGAACATCATCCTGCTCCTTTATAACTCCAGCACTCATTGATAGCTCTCACCTGTAATGATCTCCCTTCTATTTGCAAGGAAGGTGTTAACTCTTAGGCTATTCCAGGTATCCCCAAACTACAGGGGCCCCCCGAGGCCGTTTATCCGGCCCCCCGCCACACTTCAGGAAGGGGGCACCTCTTTCACTGGTGGTCAGTGAGAGGAGCACAGTATGTGGCGGCCCTCCAACGGTCTGAGGGACAGTGAACTGGCCCCCTGTATAAAAAGTTTGGAGACGCCTGGGCTGTTCTCTCTCCCTGACCTCTAGATGTTGTTTTCTTTTGCTTAAATCCTTGCCTCAGTGATACCTGTTGCTTATAAATCTTTAGCACTTCATAAAGATGTTCTTCTCTTCAGCCTAAAGTCACTCATAATTCACCCTCATCTTTAAAAAAAAAAAAAAAAAGCCAGCCAAACCAAATAAATTTAAAAGGCCTTCGTTAACCTGCCTTCCCCTGAAATCACTTTATTTTACTTTACCCTCAACTTGCAAAATAGGAATTTGTCTGTTCACCTTGTACTTTATTATCTATCCCAAACTCTGATCATTACAGTGCATGTAACCAAAGTTACATTTCATAAATTCTTACTCTCTTTCATATTCTTGTGTATTTTATTGAAACTAATTTTCTAATTCATTTAACCTCAACATAGGAAAATACAGTTTTGGTTCACTAAATTCACCAAGTCATTTAAAGTAACTATTTAACAGTTTTTGTCTGAAAAGGAATGTATGGATCATAGGCTCATACTGAAAATAAAGGGGTTAGCTCCTATAAGCAAATTGGTGGTTGTTAGAGCTAGTTGAGTTAAATGGGAGTTCATTATAGTATTCCGTGTGTGTGTCTGAAATGGTCCATAATAAAGTTTTTTTAAACATAGCTTCTTATATATGCCTGAAGTTGTTTTGTTTTGTTTTGCTTTTTTACATCAGGGAGTAAATTCCACATCCTGATACAACAGATTAAGAAGAGGGTAAAGATAAGTCATTTAGTATAAGAGCAATCCAATGTTAGGATAGAAAAATTACATATAGGAATTACAAATTTAAATTAGTCATCCATTATTTCTTTTTTATTCCCCACCCCAAGACGGAGTCCTGCTGTGTCACCCAGGCTAGAGTGCAATGGCACAATCTCAGCTCACTGTAACCTCCACCTCCTGGGTTCAAGCAATTCTCCTGCCTCAGCCTCCCAAGTGTCTGGGACCACAGGCGCCCACCACCGCACCTGGCTAATTTTTGTATTTTTAGTAGAAAAGGGGTTTCACCATATTTGCCAGGCTAATCTCAAATTCCTGACCTCATAATCCAGCCGCCTCCGCCTCCCAAAGTGCTGGAATTATAGGCCTGAGCTACCGCACCCGGCCCATTATTTGTTTTGACTGAACCAACATTATTGAATACCATCTATATGCCAGGCCTTGAGGAAAAAAAAATATTACCAAGCACAGCCTGCCAGTCTATGAGAGATCTAAGGGAGGGAAGGGTTTGAACACAGCTCCCCTCCCCCTCTCCTGATAGAAGAGGAGAAACATTATGATTCTGTGGCAGTTGATGGTGGTCTGAAGAGGGCAGTTTATAGCAGAAAACGGGCTAAGGTAAAAGAAGCCGAGAAAGATTTCTAAGTTAAAGCAAAATAATCCTCACGGTAAAAAAAACAAACAGCCAGACTGAGTTACAAACAAGGCTTTGGAGTTTGGGAACAAGTTTATGTTTTCTCTCTCTGAATAACTTTAAGAGAGAAAGCCAAAGATTATAGTATGCCAATGCAATAATAAGCAAAGGGGAGGATTATTTAGCATTGTTACCTTTCTCTGCATTTTTGGTCTTTTATGGTGTTTGTATAGATATAAAACATGATTATACAAGGTCTGGTAGGGTGGGGTTTGACTTAACTACAGAAATTAACTTGAAAAATGTCTATAGAAAAGAAAATTGTGGGCCAGGTGTGGTGGCTCATGTCTGTAATCCCAGAACTTTGGGAGGCCGAGGTGAGTGGATCACATGAGGTCAGGCGTTCCAGACCAGCCTGGCCAACATGGTGAAACCCGTCTCTACTACAAATACAAAAATTAGCTGGATGTAGTGGCATGGCAGGCCCCTGTAATTCCAGCTACTCAGGAGGCTGAGGCCAGAGAACTGCTTGAACCCGGGAGGCAGAGATTGCAGTGAGCTGAGATTGCATTGTTGCACTCCAGACTGGGCAACAGAGTGAGACTCTTTCTCAAAAAAAAAAAAGAAAAGAAAAGAAAAGCAAGGATGAACCAGAAGAAGAAAATAATGCTCAGGGGCCAGGTGCAGTGGTTCATGCCTGTAATCCCGGGCACTTTTGGAGGCCGAGGTGGGTGGATCACTTGAGGCCAGGAGTTCAAGACCAGCCTGGCCAACATGGTGAAACCCTGTCTCTACTAAAAAAATAAATATACAAAAAATTAGACAGGCCTGGTGGTGCACACCTATTATCCCAGCTACTCAGGAGGCTGAGGCAGGAGAATCGCTTGACCTCAGGAGGTGGAGGTTGCAATGGAGCTGGCATCACACCTCTGTACCCTACCTTGGGCAATAGAAACTCTGTCTCAAAAAAAAAAAAAGAGTTATCTGGATTTTTCTAGATTCCAAGTCTGAACTAGTATCTGAAAGGTGCCAATGAAAATATCTTTAAGAATTGGGTCTCAGATTGTCGCTTGTTACTTCTGAGATTGTGACAATTCCTGATAGGCATGTACCCGGTTATAAAGGATTATTTGTATTTTGCTATTTTTATTTGTTTAATTTCTCAGGTCTTCAGTTCTTTCTTTGTCCTAATTTTTGACTTATGGACCTTTCATCATTTTTGTCTATTCCTTTTCCTTTAAAGTTGCCAGTGGCATCCACAGCTTTTTGCCAGAAAAGACTGATTCTGGCTGCAGTCATGAAATGATAAAATAGCAACATTTTTTTTTTACTTCTGGGAACTCTTGCATTTATCCCTAATGAGATTAGAGAATTAGAATTTGGGAAGGGAAGAAAAAAAAATGGAAATTGTTTTCTCAAGACCTTGGAGCAAATACAAAGGTATTTTCCTTGAACACATGGACTGTGACATTTATATCAGGTTGTAAGTTGCCTTTACTAGTGGTAGGAGCACAAAGTGTGTGTTTTGAATCCCCATGAAACAGCCAGACTTGGATATCTGGAGTCAGTTTCCATTTCTTTCATGATGCCTTTGGTGTTACCTCTTTTCCATGTCAGTTGTTCAGTCATCTCTCCCACCATCACAAAGTCCAAGGGAGGTAAAGCTTTAAAAGTCACCTATTGGTGCAGTTGGTTAATTATCTGAGAAAAAAGAAGGGAAGAAGAATGTTTTAATGACTAGGAGAGATTGTTTTTACCTATCATGATGAAGTTTCATGTAGAAATTCCTATTCTCTTTTTAGATCATGAAACAAATTAATACTAGCCAATTGTAGTTGTTCTTTGGATCTCAGCACTTTTTGCAATTTGTAGGTGCCATCCAAATAAATATGATATTAAGTACTTTATGAGTCACCTAAAAAGTAAGGTGTAATTAAACTTGACAGCACTTAGGGAATTGTGTTATTTTAGTCTTTTTGGGATGTTGCTTCCCTTTAAGTTTGTACCAAAGACAGTGGTCAGCAAATGTTATGGTGCATACACTATGCAAAGCAATGTCTTAGCCCATCTTGTGATAGGTACATTAGCTATTCAAAGTGGCTTTCCATTAGCAAAGAAGTGGATTGCTACAGCTCCTGGCATAGGGAATATTTTCTTAAGAAAGTTCCATGGTAAATAACATTAGAAAAGAAGATCATGAATCTAGCTAGAAGTCACAGCAAAGTTGCAGCCCTGCTTGGAGTCACCTCAGGGTAATACCGTGAAGCAGCACTAAAATTCTAGATAAATCTACATGTAATGTGTACCTACTTAAAAACATCCTCTGATGAGGCCAAAGGTTTGAAGCTGTCAGATAACGTATTAACTTGTCTTCTCAGTCATGCAGACCTGGGAAAGAGAAAATATTATTGTTTATTAGGGAATTATAGAAGGGAATAAAAGAAATGTTATGGGAAGGAAAGCAGTATAAATTAATTTGTTAAGAAAAATACTACCGTGGTTGAAAACAGAATCCAAGTAATATATTAATTAGAAAGTGAGGATAAACCAGAAGAGGCAGAAATAATGCTCTCTTACGAGATGAGCAAAATGCAGGAATAATTTAGATAAAGTAAGTCTAAATTTAATAATTTAGATAAAGTCTAAATTATTAAATAAACTAGAAAAGAAGACCAGGAAACAAGAAACTGAGAATGATCCTTTCTATTCAGTTTTAGAAGATTGAGCCCCAATTTTATGTAAGGTACTATTAGGTATGGTAAAATAAAAAACTTGACTCAATAATGCAAGTAAATTATGAAGCTAATTAGTCATTATGTGTTTTTATTTGGCCTTGGAATGTGTGTGTGTGTGTGGTGTTTTGTTTTGTTTTGTTTTGTTTTGTTTTGTTTTGTTTTGTTTTGTTTTGTTTGTACTTATCTCTCTAAGGCTTTATTTGATAGTCTGGGAACTTGTTTCAGACACTGAAGATCTGACTCAGGAAGTGCTGGGAAGGAGTCCGGTGTGTTTATCCTGACCCGTTCAACTTCTTCCTGCAGCCCACTCCATGCTGGGAATAGACAACTCTCCTCTGAGACTGAGGCTAACCAGATTATGCAGAACTTTCTTCTCTCCATCATTGCCTGGAGCTGGGGTAGTTGTTAAGCCTTTGGGTTTCTAAAGACTTGAAAAGCTGCTTGAAAAGAATAACTAGATGGCTTGTTAGTCCAACAGTTTTATTATTAATATTATAAAGTAGAATAATGCCATTAAATTTAAAATGAATTTTTAAATTTATGAAATAAAATATATTAATCGTATTTCCTACAAAATATGAAATTAGTACATTCTGATTTTTATTTTAATGAGAAAACACTTTCAATTTTTAAAAAAAGGACTTTTGAATGAAAAAGGACTTTGAAACCTGGAAATCCTGCTACGTACATTCCTTTGAATATTTTAACATTAAGGTGGTTTGGTTTTGTTTGTCTGTTTCTTTGAGTATCATTTCTCTTACAGCTTTCTGCAATAGTTGCAAGTGAGTTTTGGTAAATTAAATCATTTAAAAATCACTAAGGGATCTTGCTATTTAAATTATAATGAGTCATTTTTGTTAGCATACCGTATTATTTGTGATCTGAATTTTTATGTGTTAGGGCTTTTTTTTTTGAAGTAATAGATACCTGCAGGTTCACATATTATTTAAAATCTACTTATAAACACTTTTTAAATAATTATTGAGCTTTAGGGTATTTTACTCCAGCTTTAAAATAATAATTTTAAGTTTCCTCTTCTTATGTAGCTGTCATCACTCAATAGAAAATACAAAATTGCTCTAGTAATTGCCAGGGAAAGTCATAATAACAAAGGACCATTATTCCAATGTGGTCTGGTCATTTTGTTAACATTGAAAACCTTGGACTGTTAGGATGCTTAATACTCAAAAACTGGATTTTCTGAACATTCATGTGATATCATTGGCTTATATCTTGGTTCTGATGATTATTTGTTTTCCTTCCCTGCTCTAGTTGAATGGATCGCAGCAGTTACCATTGCTGCTGGGACAGCTGCAATTGGTTATCTAGCTTACAAAAGATTTTATGTTAAAGATCATCGAAATAAAGCTATGATAAACCTTCATATCCAGAAAGACAACCCCAAGATAGTACATGCTTTTGACATGGAGGATTTGGGAGATAAAGCTGTGTATTGCCGTTGTTGGAGGTCCAAAAAGGTGAGGAAAGCAATTCCTTCATATGGTACCATTTTTAATGTTATGTTTCTAAATTATTCTGTCAGACTTGTATCACCAGATATGGTTATGATATCCCTTTTTTGTTATTGTTGAGACAGAGTTTTGCTCTGTCATCCAGGCTGTTTCTGTTAATGGCATAACCCTCTTCTGATCTTACATGCTTAGATCCTTCAGTGAGCTGTGGTTTTTCTCCCCAGTCTTTTACGTAGAAGTCAGTGCATTCCGCTGACTCTTTCCCCAAAATGTTTCATGTCTCTGCTCTTTTGTCTCCATTTCCACAGCTAGCACCCTGATATAAGTGTCATAACTCTATGTTTGAAACCCCTGTCAAGGAGCTCCCCATGTCTGGAGCCACAAACTCCTCACAGTGGTCCTTAAAAGACTCCTCAATTTAGATTTATTCCTTGGGGGAGGGTAGTAAAATAACCAGACTATCTTCTTTATCCATTTCACCTTTGTTCACGTGTCCTTTCTTGCAGATTCATTTGGAATTTGGAATTGTTGATAAATACTAGTGAGGTTACTAGAAAATAATAAAGTGATACATCTAGAAATTTGGAATTTCTAAGTTGGAGTTTTGATAGTTCTTTAGTAAGTGATCTTAGATAGTTCATTTAATATCTACTATGTGTACATGCGTGAGGAGCGTTGAAGAGTAAAACAGATGTCACGTAGTGTAAGTGATCTAAATAAATGGAAGCTAAAAGGAAGAAATTACACCATGAGGCTGGGTGCAGTGGCTCATGCCTGTAATCCTAACACTTTGAGAGGCCAAGGCAGGAGGATCACTTCAGGCCAGGAGTTCAGGGCCACCCTGAGCAACATGGTGAGACCCAAGCTCTCTCTCCTTTTTTTTTTTTTTTTAAATTAAAAATAAAACTACACCATGTCTTCTGCAAAAGCATAGTCATATACTTGGAAGTTAAACTGATGTGAGAAAAATTGGTAGCATTTGAATAAACTGCAAATGTTGGAGACTGAAAATCTTTTATGCCATTAACAGAAATAAAAGCTTCAAGGTGAAAGGCTAATTTTCCAGGACGACAATAAGGAGTTCTGTTTCAGAGAGTGAATTTGAGATGACAGTTGAATGGAAATGCACAGCAGACAATGTGAAATGTGAGACGTCAGGGTTGGAGATAGAGATCAGCAAAACTGATGAGTCAAGTGTAGGAATGCAACTGATCTTTGATATAGATAAAAATCAAGGGCTAAATATGAAATCTTGGGGAATTTTCTGCGTTTTGGAAAGGAGACAAAAGCCATTTAAGGAGATGGAATGGGCCAGAGAGGTTAGAATAAAACTAAAAATATCATAGCTTCAAAGTGGAAGAGGGAAAAGTTTCGAAGATTTTGAACTGAACATTGGCCTGTGCAAAGGCAACTACGTGAATGAATAGACTAAACTGTTAAAGATTGTGCAATTGCCCTTTTGGTGTCATTTCAATGGAATAATTAGAATAGAAGCTATGTCCAAGTGTGTTAAAGTGTGAATTAAGTAATAAAGAATTGCCAGAAGTCTATGTCAGATTACTCTTTCAGTAGATGAAACAGTGAATGGAAAAGAAAACAAGATAATTGCTTGAATGAACACTACGGCTTGGCTTTGAGATCAAGTAAAGGGAGTTTGCTTTGATCGGGTTTTCCCAGAGGGCAAAGAATCCAATAAAGTAATTATGTGCTTTCATGAACTAAAATCTCAAATATTCCAGGAAGAATCACCAATGGACACAAACTAGTAGTATAAATGTTTATTAGACTTTATAATTCAAAATATTCCAGGATTATTCTTTCATTTTACAATTTAGAGTTTCCAGGTGGTTCGGCCAGGGACTGCCATTTCCTGTAGGTGGACTTCAAGAGAGGGAATGAGACCAGTCATTTTATTTCCAGTTTTTTCATGCCTTTTTTCCTCTGGCTTATTTTTTTTTTTTTTTTTTTTTTGAGACAGAGTCTTGCTCTGTCACCCAGGCTGGAGTTCAGTGGCAGGATCTCAGCTCACTGCAACCTCTGCCTCCTGGGTTCAAGCAATTCTCCTGCCTAAGCCTCCTGAGTAGCTGGGATTACAGGTGCGCACCTCCACGCCCAGCTGATTTTTGTATTTTTAGTAGAGACTGAGTTGTACCATGTTGGTCAGGCTGGTTTCGAACTCCTGACCTTGTGATCTGCCTGCCTCAGACTCCCAAAGTGCTGGGATTACAGGCATGAGCCACCACACCTGGCTTCTCTGGCTTATCTTTTATGACATTTAGTGATCCTCTTTGTGTCTGGGATTTGTCAGTCCTGAATTTTCACTGCATCTTGGGCACTTATTCCTACGTGAATCAATTAATAGTTTGCTTTGAATATTATCCAAGTTAACAAATGTTGTTATTCTTCAAACACTTTGGGAAACACTCCACATTCCTGTTCTAAGATTATATCACATAGGTGCCAAGTCACACACTTACATGCCAGTTCACGGAAGACTTGTAATTAATACCTTTGATTAAGTGGCTACATTGAGGTTATAGTCAGTAATTTTGCCCTCATACAAACCAGTTGTGTTTATAATAAAATTTAAACATCTTTTTACCAATGGAAAAAAAATGTTTTATGCAATATAAACTTCAATTCTAATTCATTCTTAAGGTGCAGTCTCTAGTAACCTGTTGTGTGTCTGTAACATTTTGAACAGATTTCCCAACCCTAATGAATCAGATCGCTTAGTAATGGGCAGAAATTAGATTTTTTAGAATATATCCCTCCCTTTTCTCCAGTGCTTCTCTTGCCAGCATTGGTATGTCATCTGATGTTTCAGAAATTGGCTTATCGTTTTTTTTTTGAGACAGTTTCTTACTCTGTTGCCCAGGCTGGAGTACAATGGCATGATCTTGGCTTACTGCAACCTCTGCCTTCCGGATTCAAGCGATTCTCATGCTTCAACCTGCTGAGTAGCTGGAATTACAGGCATGCACCATCGTGCCTGGCTGATTTTTGTATTTTTAGTAGAGATGGAGTTTTACCATGTTGGCCAGGCTAGTCTTGAACTCCTGACCTCCGGTGATCCACCTGCCTTGGCCTCCCAGAGTGCTGGGATTGCAGGTATGAGCCACTGTGCCTGGCCCAGAAATTGGCTTATTTTATTGTTAAGTCTTCCCTCGGTATCCGTGGATTGGTTCCAGGACCTCCCATGGATAACCAAAATCTGAGAATGCTCAAGCCCCTGATTTAAAATGACAGTATTTGCCTAGAAGCTATGCACATAATCCTGTATACTTTAAATTATTACATCTTCTCTCTGTTACATATAATACCTAATTCAGTGTGAATGCTATGTAAACAGTTGTTATACTGTATTGTTTAGAGAATAATGACAAGGAAAAAAAAACTATGCTATACATGTTCAGTACCCATACAATTGTTTTAGTGAGTATTATCTATCAGCAGTTGGTTGAATCCATGGATGTGGAACCCACAGGCACAGATGGGACCAACTGTATTTCACAAAAGGGCTATCCATATTTGAAGTGAGAATGAAAGGAGCCAGTATAGAGGAAATGATTAAAGTGACTACCGGGAAAGATACTATTTGAGACAGTGGCATCTTGACAAAGGGTGGAAGGAAATGAGAGTAAGAGCACAGATGTGAAACTCAGCTTTAAAAAGGAAGAGAGAGTTTTGCTTTTGAAACAAGAAGATGAAAGAATTCTGATGTAAGAGGGCAGGGTATGGGATGTAGTATTGCTAGATTCCTATGCCTGCAACTTCAGGTAGGTTTACATCATTCGCTATGTTGTATGATGGCCACATAGGAGACAGTTCAAACAAGGACAGCATAAGAATACAGACTAAGAAGAAGGAGAAGAAAGTCTTACCAGTTAACATCAGGTGCTCAACTGAAATTGAAATGAAATGCAGCTGGACATACTTACACTCACTGTCTTTCATTTACAGTGTTAGATTTGAGTTGTAATATTTTTGTTTTGTTGTTGATAGTGGGCTTGATCCTGGGATATTTTTGGCTTGGCGGGGAAGGGCTGGGGGAGAAAGAGAAAGCCTCCATGCTATTAATGGCTTAGAATTGGGTTCTACTGAGTCTGTTTCTTCATAAAAACAATATTCTGAATGTTGGTGACATTCCTTGGCCAATCCACATAAAGACAGTCTTGTAAAAATCTTAATTTCTCTTTGTACCTTTTCATATTATAGCTACTGTCTTAGGTTTATTTAAGTACGTACATAAGAATGGTATAAAATGTCATAATCTCTAGGGTAGTCTCAAAAATCTTACTACTTCAGTTTTCTTTCTCAACCAAAACAAGTATATTTTTCTGAGCAGTTTATGATAATGAGCCAGAATGGTGCCAGGCAACTTACTTTGGATACAAAGTCAAATCTCTAATGCAAAGTATGAAGTTCAGAGAAGGAAGATTGTCTTTAAAAGAAAATTGTTTCAGGTGGAAGAGATAAGTCAAATTTGTTTCTATCTTGAGTTACCCTCAAAACAGACATAACTTGAGATGTGGGGTCATTAAAAAGAAATCTTATCTTTTTATGAAGATCCATATAGCATTGCTACCTTTCCAGGTAGAGAGCAAGGATCTCCAGTGTTTTTTCTACTAGACTTTTATTCCAACTTCTTCTAACCCTTTCTTCCCCACTTTTAAAGATACTTGGGATTTGTAGTGTTCATATTGGGTTAACAAACATAAAAGGATGTTTTCTGGACATAAAGGAAATCCAGCCAATTTGACTTACAGACGTTTTCCAGGATTTGTTAGTAAACAAACACTGACATCTTAGAATGAAGTAAGTATCAATACTACACGAACTGAATTTAATATTCTTTGTGGGGTTTTTTTTGTAATTTTACTTTTTGCTTAACAATTTAACATTTCAAAATTTTTAGTGAAAGAGGGTTAATTATATTATCGTACAGTATTTGATATAAAAACTTCTGTACTTCCTACCTTGTATTTGAAAATATATAATGCCGGGCACAGTGGCTTAGGGTCGTAATTCCAACACTTTGGGAATGTGATGGACAATGTAATGAGACCTTTTTTCCACAAAAAATTTAGAAATTATTTGAGTGTGGTGGCATGCACCTATAGTCCTAGCTACCCAGGAGGCTGAGATGGAAGGATCACTTGAGCCTGGGAGATTGAGGCTTCAGTGAGCTCCGATTATACCACTGTGCTTCAGCTTGGGCAACAGAGGGAGACCCTGTCTTTTAAAAAAAACAAAAAGTTTATATCCACCACACATTATATTTCTCCTGCATAGGTCAGAAATAAAGCAAGACACAGAAGACAGTAATTCCTGGGGCTAAGTGATATAAAAAGTGCCATTAAAAAATATGTCTCTGAACAAAATTATTTTTAATATCTAGTTTACATCTTGAAGGTATAAAAGCTTTATATACTTTAATCCCATGAAAGTTTATTAACAGATAACCAGGATTAACTACGCATTGCTTTTTAGAGAAATATTTATTTTTTTATTTGTTTGCTTTTAAGAATATGAAGAAACAGGCTGATTTCAGTTTTTAGGCAGACTTGGGTTATTAGAAAAAATGTATTCTCATTTTAGATACATGACAAATATTTTGTAAGATTTTCTTTGTATATTTTTCTGTAGCTTTCTCCCATTGATTCTGTATATGGAGGAAAATAATTTGAGAAAATGTTAATATCTAATATTTTCAACATGAGATTAAAAATAAATAAAAGTTGTTTTATAGTTTTTTTGTTTTTGAGCTGGAGTCTTGCTCTGTCACCCAGGCTGGAGTGCAGTGGCACTATCTCGGCTCACTGCAATCTCTGCCTCCTGGGTTCAAGTGATTCTCCTGCCTTAACCTCCCGAGTAGCTGTGATTACAGGCGCCCACTGCACACCCAGCTAATTTTTAGTCGAGACAGGGTTTCACCATCTTGGCCAGACTGGTCTCAAACTCCTGACCTCATGATCCACCTGCCTTGGCCTCCCAAAGTGCTGGGATTACAGGCATGAGCCACCGCTCCTGGCCAAAAAAATAAAAATTAAACATGCCATTTCGGTAAGTTATTTGTAGCTTCTTATTTAGAAATACTTTATTTTTCAGAAATACAGCCTATGTGGATTTAACTGTACAGTGAAGTTTTTTGTGTGTGCTATTTATAAAAATAGTCTTTACAATGTAAACTTTTATACTCACTAAAATCATCTGTGTTTGTTTATTAAACATGTGTCACTTTGAAATGCTGTATTTTGCTGTGGGATAATTTAGTTTCATTTTTATAGCCTCCTTCCTCATCCACGCCAAGAAAAAACTGAAAGCTTGACTTTATGTTTTTGTGTCAAGGGCTTGTTTTTAATATGAATATACTGTTTACCACATCTTATTGACCTCAAAATAAGAAATAATGTAAACTTTACATATGCTGCATTTACACTGCCCACTATGACAGGATACAATTTATATCTGGAAATAGAAGTTGTACAAATACCTTGAGTTTTTCTGTAATTTTTAGCAAATTTAGTGCCTCTTTCAATTATTTACAGATAGATTAAATTTTGATTACTTTTTAACATTAAGTAGACTTTTGGATATCAAAGTTTAAGATTAAATACCATTATTATCGCGTTTCACTTATCTGCTATATTCCTTTCATTGAACATAATGAGGTACTTGTTTCTCATAAGGCTAAGACTCCTCTTACTTTACTCTTCTAAATAGGTTTCTTCAGAGCAACAGCATACCTTAGACTAAACAGAGAAACTCTAGATTCTAGAGTGTAGATACATTCAAAGCATCAAGATTAATGCAAAGATGCTAGCTCTCGCCATTTGACATGAAATAGAAATAAAAGATATAGAAGAAACAAAAAAATTACTGATAATTATACCTTCTAAGTGTAAAACATTTCATTACCTGAGGAGTTACTGAAATACTATTAAATTCTTATTTTTTCATTTTACAATAGAGAGGGATATACTTATTAAAAAATGATTTTATGGCAGGGCACGGTGGCTCACACCTGTAATCCCAGCACTTTGGGAGGCTGAAACAGGCAGATCATAAGATCAGGAATGTGAGACCAACCTGACCAACATGGTGAAACTCCATCTCTGCTAAAAATACAAAAATTACCTGGGTGTGGTAGCGCATGCTTGTAATCCCGGCTACTCAGGAGGCTGAGACAGGAGAATCGCTAGAAACCCAGAGGCAGAGGTTGCAGTGAGCCGAAATCGTGCTACTACACTTCAGCCTGGAGACTCCATCTCAAAAAAAAAAAAAATTTACATAGCAAGAGTGTTCAGATATGAAAATAATTGTAATAATGATTAAAACATGACAGCAATAATCTTAACCAGAATATACATGAGATCTGAGGATGAAAAACTGCAAAAGAAATTAAGACTTGGCAAAAAACATTCTCAAGCTTATCTGGAGGAATAAAGTAATAAAGTTTCATAAAGTTAACAAAGAAGAATAATGAAGAAAAACTAGCCCTACAAAACACTGAAATGTTTAAAATACAAATATTCCGGTGTAACAGGCTGATCAACATAACATAGATAGGTGCTTTTATATGTAGAATTTATTTCAATCAAATTATGAATAAAGGTATAAGAATGTGGGAAGCAATAGCATTCGGTAATACTGAAGCAACAGGATCTTAACATTTGCAAAGTGTGCTCAACAGAAAACTCTTAATAGAAATCAAAATGTGAAGTGTCCGTAAGTCCAGTCACCTTAAAAAACTTTGGGAAAAAATTCTGGTTTCTATAGCAAAATTAGTAATGTGTGCTGTGACTCAAATGGGCTATATGATATGTTTTTCAAACACAGAATGAAACCAAATCAGAGTGTCTTGCAGGATTCAGCTTCTTTGGAGCATACTCTGAGAAACACTGTTAGAAATTTAGTTTTGTCCCTTTCCCTCCCACTGGACACCAAAACATCAGTTATATCTAAGATGTGAAATCATGAAAAGGGATGGAAATTTATATTTGTCACATCTCTAGAAGAAAGATGTCTTCATGAATGATGTTGAAAAGGGAAATATTGGCATATTTGTATGAAAGTGGAGAAATTGAGAATATGAAAAAATGAACCAAATGAAAAGATTTCGGAAAGATTGCTGCAAACATCAACAAAGGGATAATAGGCAAATTGATTTTTTTTGAGATGGAGTCTTGCCATCTCCCAGGTTGGAGTGCAGTGGTGCAATCTCAGCTCACCACAACTTCCGCCTCCCTGGTTGAAGCCTCAGCCTCCCAAGTAGCTGGGATTACAGGCACTCGCCATCATGCCTGGCTGAATTTTGTATTTTTAGTAGAGATGGGGTTTTACCATGTTGACCAGGCTGGTTTTAAACTCCTGACCTTAAATGGTCCAGTCATCTCAGCCTCCCAAAGTGCTGGGATTGTAGGCATGAGCTACCGCACCCAACCACAAATTGATTTTAAATAAATGAACTTAAACTCTTAGAATTAAATAGACAATAGACATAGTTAACTAGAAAGAAATGTAACTAGTATATAAACATAAAATAGGTCTTCAACACTCATCAGATATCACAATGAAATTCAATAAGTGATATGTGCATTATGCACAAGTCGATTTCTTCCCCCTACTAAGTAGTGTATGTACTTTACATAGGCTCTTTAAGAAAGCCCGTATATAAGATAAACAAGAAAATCTTTGTGTTATCTTACATGAATTAAGCATCACCATCCACTCTGCCAAGCATAATACTGATTTGGGGATTAGATGTTTCATTCTTTCTTTCTCTTCCTAGTTCCCATTCTGTGATGGATCTCACACAAAACACAATGAAGAGACTGGAGACAACGTGGGACCTCTGATCATCAAGAAAAAAGAAACTTAAATGGACACTTGATGCTGCAAATCAACTTGTCATGAAGTTACCTGATTGTTTAATTAGAATGACTACCACCTCTGCCTAATTGACCTTCCCTGGGTTCTAAATGTGGCATATTGCAAACTGCAGCTTTCACATTCATGGCATTTGTCTTACTTGTTGAAACATCGTGGTGCACATTTGTTTAAACAAAAAAAAAAAGAAAGAAAAACCACCCTCATGGCCTGTGGGTTATTTTGGTCTTGTAAGGATCCGTTTCTTTAAAATACTAACATATAGAGTCGTATCTTGAAGGCAACATATTATTCTCAAAATTATGTATTTGCAGATTCTACTTGAAAGTTTCAAAGAAAAATTATCATCTTTTCATATTAACCTGGAAAGTATATAGGATGTGATTCAGCTACATTAATTTCTTAATACAATCTCAGAAGGACCTGTTTTGACCTTGATTTTCTTGGCATTGGTAATAACGCTGAGAAAATGTGGCTTTTGTATCTTCACAGTTTTCAGTCAAAATGATTGATGAATGTTATTCTGCTTAATTTTATAAGTCAGCCAGGTCAATAATAAAGGGGTGATAACTTCTTATTCATCTTCATAGATATTTAGTGAAGATAGATCCAATAAAGGAGCCAATAGTGAAAATTTACTTAAAATTGATACTAGATTTAAATTAGTCATGTTTTAAAATCTAATGATCCAGAATTCTGGCCCAAGGAATGGTAAGCACTTGAACTGAGGACATAGAAGGAACTGGAGCACATAATGTCAAGTCTTTTGATCACTAAGCCACATATCCTGACAGAAATAGTCACAAGATTAGATCAAAGGCGTGGGAAGGTTTTCTTTTTTCCCCACTCCAGCTAATCAAGCACATGGATTTTAAATTGTATGATCTTTTTCTTAAAAGTAAAAATTTGAGGACAAGTGTTTGTTTAAGTAATACTCTTCAAAGACTCAGAGCAGAAACATTGCGTTCATTGTTGATTCAGAAAAAAGAACATGAAAGCTGAATAATTAGCAATAAAAGAATTAAGCAAATAGTTCATAAATATTTTTAAAGATACTAGACTTTGAATTTCATAGGTTAGAAAGAAAATCATGGCAAAATATATGGAAAACGTGGGCAAATATAATTTGATGAAATGTAAACATTTTCATTATTTTAGTATACATGAATTCTCAATAGTAGTCAATCCCAAGTTTCTGCTTGCTAAAATCCATTTACCTTGACGGGAATCAAATCCGACAGCAACATTTCTACATAATACATGATCATGGCTATTTTTACGTATATAGTTTTGTGTATTACTGTAGGTAAAAGTTGGTAACAAAATTGTACACTGGTTTTAAGAAGCCCATGTAACTAACTTGGACATGTCTCTAAGTTACGTATTTATCATAAAATCTGAAATCCTGGCCAGGCACGGTGGCTCACACCTGTAAGCTCAGCACTTTGGGAGGCCAAGGTGGGTGGATCATGAGGTCAGGAGTTCGAGTGCAGCCTGGCCAATATGGTGAAACCCTGTCGCTACTAAAAATACAAAATTAGCTGGGTGTGGTGGCACTGGACTGTAATCCCTAACACTCGGAAGGCTGAGCTAGGAGAATCACGGGAACCCAGGAGGTGGAGGTTGCAGTGAGCCAAGATCGTTCCTGGGCAACAAAAGCGAAACTTCATCTCAAAAACAACAACTAAAACCCTACAAACTGATTCTTTTAGATTCTTTAGGCAATTGTTCCCAGATTCTAGGCCAAGACTAAATTTTCAGCTCTTCTCGAAGGAAATTTTTTTCTTTGCCCACCTCCTTTTTAAAATAAGTATGCATGTCAGCAAAGCAGAGCAGTAATACTTTTAAAGATGAATTGTTTTAAAGAAAAAATAAATCCCTCAACTCAAAATGTTTCTGATAAAGGGACATCCTTCTAACTTGACAGACTATTCTTTATCTTGAATTTCAAATTATATTGTTAGTCGTGCATTTTTGTAATGTTGGGGGAACCTGATACCAGTTTTCAAAACTATAGGATTATATGAGTGTGTGTGTATGGCAAAAATACAAATGACCATCCTACTGTGAAACATAGATCTTGAGCATTTTGAAAGACCAGTTAGGTGAATGTATTTTCAAGGTCGTGTTAAAATTTTTACATGCTTTTGAACTAGCATTCATTTATGATTAAAACCTTTTCATGTTATTTAACCTAAAAACCAATGTGAGTGTGGTTAGGTTAAGTGAGATTTTTTTTTTTATACAAAAATTGTGTGTAGTTACTGTTCTAGCCAAGCACCTTAATGCTTCTAAGTGCTTTTCATTTCATTGAGGCTAAGCAAGTGGGGCTTACATCTGTTTTTCTCTATGTCATTTATGTTCTAGTTATTTCTGAAAAGTTTGTGCTAGGTTGAGAAGTTTCTAATGTGAAAAACCTTGTTTTTTAGAGTGATGTTCATCTGTTCATGCAACAGACATTTATTAGGCTTCTGTAGACCACGTAATTGAGACTGAGAAACTTTTGGAGAATTAGAAGCTCCCCCTATTTATGGCACAGGTTATATAATTATGGTAATTTGTGATGTATGTCCTTGACAAAACAGCTACAACCATGTATACCGAGTATTTCTACTACAAGTAGGTGAGATTATTTGATTTTACATTAGTTAGGGAGGTTTTTGATTTGGTTTTGCTTTAAGATAAGCATTGACTTTGGCTCTTGATTAGCAACAGACAGTATTTTGTGCCTGGGTATCTGTGAGGGTGTGTAATTCTAGTTGTTAGAAGCTGTGCTTTGTCTCCTTGATTATAATACTAGCTGACCTCAGGCAAAGCCACTCACCTCTCAGCCTTTTAAATTGTGAGGTGAGTGGACTAAATGGCATTTTAGGCAATTGTTCCCAGATTCTAGGCCAAGACTAAATTTTCAGCTCTCCTCAAAAGAAAAATATAAATAATGCTAATAGAAAGCTATCAGCTCAAATTTAATTTTTATTATGATTATTTCAGCTGTTATGGTATTGAAGTGTCTTTTATGAAATGTTGATGGTAGTATATTTACTTGGCAAAATAATAAGGTGGCAGCCCAGTGTTGGTCCCTACTTTTTTTTTTTTCACTGCTTCATGCAATCTAAAAGTCTGGGAACCACTAAGCCAACATCATATCTAAAGTTCTGAGACTTATTAAGGTATTAAAATAACAGTTTTATTTTGAGATTTAGTTTGTGTTATGTGGAATTTTTCATTAGCACAATGTGTAGAGGCCTCATGGAAAGTTACTGTTAAAAAAAAGTTTTTACTTCCATTCAGTTTACCATCCTGTATCCAAACTAAGGGTAAAGCCAATGCATCCTAATGTGTTCCCAACCCATAACTTTAAATGATTAAATTAATACACAACAGGGAGATTGATTGTTAACTGAGCATCTGCCTTTCTTGAGAAAAGTCAGTGGTTTTTATGGACTTAAATGAAGAAGTTTCCATAAATAAAGGCATTACATGTGTTAACTGAAATTGCCAGGAATCGTCCTAAAGGGGAAAAGGTGTCTAATCAGTAAATCAGTGAAGAAATATAAGATTATAAGTTAGAAGTGTTGCTGTGGTATTAGCCCTTATGTCCCTAAACAACAAAAAAGACAATTCAACTCAAGCATGGAATAGAAAAATGCTGAGCTTAGAATGTTGTCATCTAGATACTGTGTAAACTAGATGTTCTCTTTAAGACCTGTATCTCTGTGGATAGTGTATTACTTTCTAGTTTTTCCAGCCTATTCCTTACAATCAGAAGTCAATTCATGTCAATGTTTTATTTAACTGTGAGATTGTTTTCATTTGTAAATATGCAGTGATTCCCAGCCTTTTCATTTAAAATAATTGTGAACATTGCCCACCTGCCTGCATGCTCATAACTGGGACATAAATAATTTTTCTGTTGGTGATACTGCCTGCCAACAATTTCATAAGCAGTGGTTAATCTAACTCATTATACAAGATAGACATGAGATACAGATAAGAGAGATTGTCTTTTATTGCTTTATCATCAGTTAAACTTAGCAAAGTCTGTTAAATTGATTTCAAAGTCTCCCAACTGTGAAAGTAGAATTCTACTTATGTTATGCATATCTGCACAGCAATCTTTTTTTGAGCCTAAACTTTCTTAACAGTTTCCTTCTCCTTATTCTAGACAATCATGCTGTGTGTTTTCCTTGACTACCAGGATTTTAAACTTTGAAAATGTCTCAGTCTTCATCTTTCCAGTGTAGTCTACCCTGTAGTCTTCACATGAACCTTCTATATCTCTTCACTTTCATATCCCTCCCAGCAAAGAACATTTTGATTATGACTTAGAGTAACCTCACCCCTTTCTCTTTTAAAACTGTTTCTCTTAGAATCCACAGGGAATCTGCATTGAGCACAGAAGCTAATATGATTGGCTTTTCATTGCTAGTTACAACTTTCAGCCTGACCCTGGATGCCACCTAGTGTTGAGTCTCTGATAATGAAAATATTAAACCATAAATTACATTTCGTAATTTAACAATGCATATTTACCAAGTATGTGCATTTGGTATATGTCCCTGATCTTTGTACTCCAAAAAGTTTGGTCACTTAGAGCAGTTTACATTTCTGTGACTCCCTTACGCTTTCAGCATCTGGAGTTTGGAAAATACAATGTTCAAGCATTCACCTTTCTTAATCCCTGAGAAAGAAAATAATTTTTAAAATTTTGATTATTACATTAGTGTCTGTACCCAGAACAGTTACATGTACATAGCAGATGCTCAACAAATACTTGTTTTAATAAATAGGCATGCAAGATTTTTCAAGGATACAAAGGTAACTGCCAAAAAGTCCATATTTTGTCTTGTTCTGCCCCCAAACCTGATTACCTTTTTTTTTTTTTAATATTTGTATTCTAAATGTTTGAATATGCATGTTAGGAAAATGTACTGAATAGTTACCTTATTCTGACAAGATTGGCTATAAAGTAATCTACCTAATCAGCACTTCTGTGGCTAAACTTGTGGTATAAAAACCAACCAACTGACAAAACTATCCAAGTCAGCTTGCTTTAAACCAGTGTGCACATGATGTATCATAACTGGGGAGAAGTATGGTACTTGGTTATTTCAAATCTGTGGACAGTGCTCTGGAAGAAAGCTGCTATGAAAAAACTCAAGTGTCCGGTGTTTGTCAGCCTGGTAGTCCTAGTGATTGCCCTTGGGGCAACGTGGTGGCAACAATCATGGAATTCTAGGTCAGACTTAAATTCAGATCCCCGATCTGCCCCTCATTAGTTGAGATCTTGAAGAAATTATTCT